AAAATGCAAATATTGAGGTCTTGGAACAGTTGTCTACTTGAAGAAAAAAGCAAGTTATAACAATACTTGATACTTTAGAACAAAACAAATTTTAGACTAAATAGTCAAATATAAATATTAAAAATGTTCCAAGAGGCTGGCCGGTAGACTCATTGGTTAGAGTAGAGTGCAGTGTTATGACACCAATGTCAAGGGTTCTGATCCCTGTACTGACCAGCCGCCAAAAAAAAAAAAAAAATCCTAAAAGAACTAGATGGGGTGAATATTTATACAATGTTATTGTAGAAAAGGTTGAATTAAGCAAATAAAGAAAGGGTGAAATCACAAAATAAACTTTTGCTAGATATGATTTCATAAAACTAAAACTTCTGTGCATGTATATAAAAACACCATGATACAAATTATGAGACAAATGACAATCTTAGAAAATATATCAGAAAAATACTTGACAGAGTACTATTATTTTTGAAATATATAAAAATTTTTTAAAAATCTGAAGGACAAAGATAGATGCTCCACCAGAAAATTGGTCAAAGGAAATGAGCAGCAAATTCACAAAAGAAGAAATGGTAAAAATATATATATATATAAAAACATGCCAATCTCACTAGTCCTTAGACATTTAAAATTAAAGGAAAACAAAATAATTTTTTACTATTACATTCACTAAAGTTAAAATAAATTAGTCATTAATGAGTGTCTAAGAAAATGGACTCTCTCTTACATTTTTGGCAGGAATGTAAACTTGCACTTTCTTCCTGGAAAATAATTTGGCAATATGTGTTAAAAAGCCCTAACATTTCACTAATTGTAATTTCTCTTGAGAAAACAATAAGAGGTATATACAAAGATTTCTGTACAATGATTGTTATAATAGCATTATTTGTATAAAATTGTGGAAACAACCTAAAGGTTCAGCAATAGGCGAATTAAAACAATTAATAATAATAAATTCATATTATAAAAGATATAAAACCATTAAAATGATGTAAAAAAGCAATATATCCATTATTATGATATTTTTATGTAAAAAATTAAGGGTAAGAGAATCAACATTCTATATTTGTTTTAAAATACTATACTTTGGTACAGGAAAAGGACTAGAATTTTATAAATCTAAGTCTTAATAGTGGTTAAGTCTAGGTGGTAACATTATGGTAATTTTTATATTAATCTTTGTGCTTTTAACATTAAAACAAAACGAAACCAAAATAAACATGCAACTATTGAAGGTCAGGAAGGAGGAGGAGAGAGGGGGAGAGGGACAGAGACTTTCCTGTCCAGTACCTTCATTTCACAGGTTTCTTATTAGATATTCACTCTAAATCAAGTCATTTACTAGTACAATTGTGGCAAAACCCATATGTCCCAATTCCCTTACAAATGATTCTCACTGCTCCATGTTGAAGTCCTCAACTTCTGTGAGCTATCTCTAGGTCTATTCCATATATTATCTAGAAAGGATCCAAAAGATTCTAATTATCAAAAAAAAAAAAAAAAAGATTCTAATTATCCCATATTGAGAATCAATCTTTTGACTCTCCTATGCCAGCAATTCTCAATCTCACCTCCACCTCCCATCCTTATACTTGTTTACTATGTGCATTGATCAAATTATTTAATCTCTTGTTGTTCCTCAATTTTCTTATCTGTGAAAGGAGGATAAAGTTAGAATCTATCCCGGGCATTGCGAGGATTAAACATAACATGTATAGTACTTGGAACAGTGTAGACTTTTTAGAACTATTAGTTGCCACATACTTCCATGAGAGTTTCCAGGAGATAATCTCTCCCATTTTGGAGAGTCATACTGGAATATGACTGATAATGGATCGTATTAAAGGAAAACTTCTCTAATTAAAAAATGCAATTACACACACACACACACACACACGAGGTCTTCAAAAAGGTCATGGAAAGATTGGTATTGTCTTATACTTCTACTTTTCCACGAACTTTTCGAAGCACCCTCATATATACGTTAATAAAAAAAGTACCATCATACATATATACATACATGTGTATATATATAAAACGATTGGTAACAACACCATGGTCTAGAGATCATGGGTCATCTGAGGCCAAGATGGACTGATGGATATTTCTGCGAACAGAAAGAGAATTCTATACCTTCCTTCTTCCTCTAAAACATGTACTGTCGCCCACTCTATATAAAGCCTTGTAGAAAGCAAGATGAAATGAGCAGTAATTTGTTCTAACAAATTTAATTTCTCATTTTCCAAAGAGATAATTGCACTTGGAAAAATGAAAATGCCCCTCTTCCAAAAAAGGCCCCCCACCATTATCAGTTGCTATTATGCTTTCTGACAGGGCAAACCATCTGCCTAGAAATGACCACAGGTGGAGTGGGTATAGACTCTCTGAGGAGAAGCCCAAATTAGTGGAAAATCCAGTGGACATTGAGAAGATCCACCAAGCAGCCTCTTACTGTGTCAGCCCTGATATGGTCTAAGATGCTGGTAAGATGGTATTTACAATATCTTGAGGCTTAAGTAAAATGTAACACCAAGGATACTTCACTCTGGATAACCTCTAAAGTGAGACAACTTAGGACAGGAATGTAAACCTGTACTGGTTTTAATAAGACTCTTTATATCTCCTTGATACTTTAAAAAATCTACTTATTTTCCTGACTTCATATTTTTTTTTTGGTTTATGTATTTCTTCTGAGTTGGATTTTTTTTTCTTTTTTGGATTAGTGATCTACCAGCTTTAATTCAACCACTGTAAGTTTTTTGTTTGTTCTGTTTTTGTTTTACTCCTAGGTTATCAATACATTCATTCCCTGAAGGATTAGACAGCTACAAAAGGTCAAAATGCCTTTATAATCACCTTACACATCTTTTATTTTAAATATAAATATTATATTTCTTTTGAAAATTTGGTAATAAGGAAAAGATGCCTAGAGATTGAAATATTACATTTAACTTAAATTAATTAAGAAGATAGAGCTGGGAGAATTCCCACTTAACCCCAAATCATGTACTAATCATAGACAAACATGGGGGAAAAAAGGCTTGTGAAGAGCTGAAAGAAGTGTATTTGTCTTTCCAATCAGTTTTCAGGTCATCCGTTTAATAGCACACAAGTAATTGGAGGGGAACAGCTCAAAAGATTATTTGGGGCTATCATGCTGTTAAAAGTCCCAACTGTGCATTTTATTTGTAATTATGACATTGAAGTGCTGATAGTTTGTTGTTAGCAACTTCCATTTTTCCTTTCAGAACTCTGCATAGTTTAAATTTTGCAACATCAAGTCTAAACTCCACTGTCTTTAGCATCGGACACACAAAAATTTTTTTGTTTCTCTCATAGTAGAAGGGATTTTTAAGGGTTCCAATCTCCAACTGACTACTAAAGATGAACTTCAGCTAGGTGTACCGAAGAGTAAAATTTTCAGCTGATGTTTCAAACAGAAAATGGACATGTGGGAGTAGGTGGTCACCAAATAAAGAATAAATTTCAGAAACTGCAAACCACATTTCAGTGATAGTGGTTTCAGAGAGATTGCCATCCAATAACACCGTCTTCTTTTCAGTATGACAGCTTTAAAACAATTCCATCTTTTAGGGGGGCAGGAAAAAGGTGGGTGTGGCTACAAAAGAGCAAACCGAGGGATCCTTGTGGTGATGGGACTGTTTGTATGTTCACTGTGGCAGTGGATACACAAACCTACATGTGTGACAAAATTGCACAGAACTAAATACACACACACACATGAGTAGAAGTAAAACTGGAGAAATCTGAACAGGATTGGTAGATCGTGTCTGCGCGAATGTCCTGGTTAGGATATTGAACAATAGTTTTCAACATATTGCCACTGGGGAAACTGAATAATGGGTACATGTGACCTGTCTGTATTACTTCTTACAACTGCATGTGAATCTCCATTTCTCTTAAAATGAAAAGTTTAAGGAAAACAGCAAGAAAGGTAACATACACACACAATTCCATCTTAATGGTGATTTTTGTTGTTACCAGAAAATAATCTCTTGACATCCAAATAAATGTACAGGCTTTCACAGGCCAAACCAGAGGAAGTTTTTCCAAAATGTAAGATCTCATATTGATATTGATGATGCCTATTGATGATTTTGTTGTATCGTGTGACTAATATGAGATTACTCAGAGTTAGTTGTAGATTAAAATATATATATATATATATATATATATATATATATATTTT